TACATTGTTATTACCTTCATTAGGGAACTCCTAAGTCTAGGAAGAGCCACACTCAAGGGGCCAAAGAGCCGCATGTGGCTAGAGAGCCGCAGTTTGCCGACCACTGGCGACCATCCTGCATATCAGATATTTACCTTACAACTCATAACAGTAGCAACATTACAGTTATGAAGTAGCAACGAAAATAATTTTATGGTTGGGTCACAACATGAGGAACTGTATTTAAAGGGCCAGAAGGTTGAGAACCACTGAGCCTTCCTCTGTTTGGTAGCCAGTGAAGCTCGCAAAGTAATGTACGCTGGATATAAGCTGCCATATTAACAGTCATGGAGTTTTATTTATTTATTTATTTATTTTTAAATATAGCCTTGACCGGAATCGAACCTGGGACCCTTCAGTCCGCAGGCCGACGCTCTATCCACTGAGCCAAACCGGTTTCGGCAGTTTTATTTATTTTAATTGTTATTGTGTGTGTGTGTTTTCAGAGAGAGAGAAGGGAGGAGAGAGAAACATAGGTGAGAGCGAAACATGAAACTTCAACATCCATCGGCTGCCTCCTGCCCGCCCCCTGCCTGCGATCTAACAGGCCGTACCCGGAGTAGGAATCCAACCGGTGACCTCATGGTACATGGATCCGGGCTCAGCCTCCCAGCCACAGCTGCCAGGCTGGAGTTTTATTTTTGTGAATCTTGCATTATCTGATTTTTATGTAATAAAGGAAGAACTTTATATACAGAGAACAGTGCCAGAAACTGGTTCTTCATAACCCCCAGGTCTTTCCAGCTGCCTCCTCTTGTCTCTAAATAAATAAGGGCAAAGCCATTTTGCCAGTCTCCAGGGTGCCACGGAACTCTGTGGCTGCTCTACGTGGCTTTCATCCTGGTTTACACGGATCCATCTGCCTGCCTCACTTCCCCCCTCCTTTCTGCTTCTTAAATGAGCTCCCCGTTGTCTTGTATCCTATTTATTTTATTTGTACCACGTTTTCTCTTGTCTCATAGAGGCACGTTGGGTGGTGTAGCATATTGTCAGAGCATAGATGTAGCCAGACTGCCCCGGCTCCAATCCCAGCTTTGGTCTTAGGCAACATCTTTCTAGTTCAGTTCTTTCATATGGAAGATAGGAATAAAAAAGTAATATAAGTAAAGTAAAAATAATCAAAATATTGAGTTAATATAAAGCTTAGTGTATCATGCTAAGAAAGTTCAAAGCAGGTAGTAGTAAGGGCTATGTAAGTAGGGCTGTTATTAGAGGTTCGGAGACCCAGACTCCCAAGGGCAATATGGCCACCCAATAGGCTTGCTTTAAAAGTTACATTACGTATTAGTAGAGAATAATAATACAGTTAGATTATGTATTAGTTGAAATTATTAATAGATTAGAGCAGGGGTCCTCAAACTTTTTAAACGGGGCCAGTTCACTGTCCCTCAGACTGTTGCAGGGCCGGACTATAGTTTTTAAAAAAAAAAACTATGAAGAAATTCCTATGCACACTGCACATATCTTATTTTGAAGTAAAAAAACAAAACGGGAACAAATACAATATTTGTATTTGCAAGTGGCCTGCGGGCTGTAGTTTGAGGATTCTTGGGTTAGAGGGTCTTATGTAAGGAGTGTCACTACTTCTTAGCCCTTACTCTGAAGACATGGAGACCAGTTAACTGAAGTTAAGAATTCATTTTTATTTTAAAAGTTTCTGCCTGAGACTCAGAAATGAGTTTTATAGTAGGTGTGTCTGTTTTCTATAACCTTTTTCCTAACGATAGTGAAAATAAAGTAATGAGACTCCAGAATGTCGTCCCTCGTTATTGTCAGATTGGTTCCAGAAACCCCCTCCCCACTGATACCAAGACGCACGGATGCTCAGGTCCCTTATGTAAAATGGCATAGAATGATGTATACAGCCGGCCCCCTGCACCCACAGATTCCCAACCACAGGCGGAAAACAGTTTTCAATCAGTGGTTGACCACGGATATGAAACGCGTGGATATGGAGGGCTTACTGTGTATCCACATCAGTGATTTCAGAGTTGTCACCTTGGTAGCATATACCTTATTTGACACCAACATTGCCTTTATTCTGAGCACTTTTAAAATTACCTTTAAATTGTTTTTGGATCTGCCCAGGAAACGCCAACTTTTACTATAACCAGCACCTTGGTTTTTACACCAAAATAGCATTGATTCCCTCATCTTATGAGTCTTAGTTCTGAATGACCTAGCTGTTTCTTAAAATGACACCCACTTGCAAATAATTGGTATTTGCCACCGCTAAATATAGTCAAAGGAACCTGTCATGTGTATTGAAGACAAGGCCAAGATATTTCTGGAATCAGAAGAAAGGTTCACCAAACTAATAGCTTTGAAATACTCATTGAGAGGTGTGAGTTTTGTTCTTTAGCTGCAGAGTGGTATGATTTTGTAATCTGTATATTATAAAAAAGTCCCAGTCCTTCTGCAGAGGTGGTAACTGCTGTACCACTGGGGTGTGGGGATCTCGACCTGGTCTCTCCTCTCTGGCCTGGCTTTCTTCCTGTCTCTAGATGGAGCTCTGTTTGGCCACCCAATAGGCTTGCTTTAAAAGTGCTGTTTGTCATCATCACATGGCCATCTGGCCAGGGCTGTGGCAGGTCCTTGGGTTTGGTGCTCTGACCCCAGACTGTTTTAGCCACTAGAACACCTGTTGACACTTCAGCATTGGAAGGTGCAGGAAAGTAGCCCTGAAACAACCCAGGAGTTTTGTAGAGAAGGGCAGGGAAGGGGAGGGGAAGGGGCTTTAAAAATAGCACGGTCCAAAGAAAGCTCTGTGTACTAGTAAAAGTATCTGTTTTGTCTGCACACATGATTTCTGTGGTGACAAAGATGCAAAGACAGTTTCAGAATGACCTTAACAGTCATTTTCCTGCCCTAGAGTAAACCTGGAAATGAGCAAGTGCTCAACCAGTTAGGCCCGGTGTTCTTGTGGGGGAGCGATGACACCCGTGGGGGTGTTGGAGGTTAGCTGCGACAGCCTGGAGTGGCCCAGCAGAATCTCAGTGGCACCAGCCAGGAGGCTTAAAGAGACCTGCATGAGGGTTTGAGGTGCTGTCGGTCTGCTGGTTAGTGATTTACTGTGGCCTTTGCCGAAATTAGCAGGGAAGAGAGGCTGGCCTACACACTCCTCTTTAGCGCCTACTGCCCTCCAGGTCTTGGGATAGGAAATCAGCACGTAATTATGAAGCACGTAAGCGATAGGTACCTGTCTTATTACCGTCCCAGGGTTGCGAGTTGTTTATTTGAAACTAAGTTATTTAGAGCTGTGCACCGAGAATGGCAAATCATCTGTAAGAAAGAAACAGCAGGTATTCTGGCTCACCTCTTGTGGGCCAGAGGCTGTTATAAGTGCTTTCACGTTGATCTTATTTCATATTTTAAAAGTAATCTGTTCTCATCAGAACTCATAAGACAACAACAGTATGTTAAGGACTACAGCAGATCTCTCTGGACCTTGTTACTGGAAAGGGGACCTGGACCTGATCCGGTCTGCCTTGGGTAGTGTGTGGGTTCTTGACTTTGTGCAGGAAAAATTTCACAACACAAGTCCAAGAGAATCTTAGACCAGCGGTTGCCAACCGGTGGTCCGCGAGGTCCGAAAGGTTTGTGACCACTGCTTTAGAGGACGTTTGTTAAAACTGGGAACAGTGAAACAGACAAGGGCTGGGGACATGAGCCTGGGCTGGGCTGCCTTGGCTCACGAAGATGTAGAGAAAAGGGGGCCTTGGGGCCGGGCTCAGGGCGGGTTGCGTGGGATGACCTGCCACTGCCCATTGCTGTCCTGGCCGCAAGCCTTGCACAGGTGTGCTCCTGGGAGGGAGAGCGCTGGCTGGGACCTTAGTTTTGAGGGGTTTTAAAGGCTGGACAGAGAGGTCTTAAGGGAGGATCTCAGTAGAATATTCATCACCTTTATGCTGATGGACCAAAATCAGGTTTATTCTCTTAACTTCCTCTGTCCTTGGGTGTGGTTGGCAAACGGCACTAGTTGGATTTCTGTATCTGTCTCCCAGAGTAGGGAGATTTAAGCTGTTCACCCTCTGGTTGGGAAGAAGTGCAAGCCATTTACTCTGAAGTGTCCCTGGTTAGGGAAGATAGGATTCTGCTATTTACTAGACCAGTGGTCGGCAAACTGCGGCTCGCGAGCTACATGCGGCTCTTTGGCCCCTTGAGTGTGGCTCTTCCACAAAATACCACGTGTGGGCGCGCACGTACAGTGCGACTGAAACTTCGTGGCCCATGCGCAGAAGTGCCAGGTCACAGGCGCCTCTAAATCAGGTTATGCCATTCTGCCGTCTTCAGCAAGAACCCCGATGCTCTGATTCAAAAATAGCTGCTGCTTTGAACAAACCTTAAAAACCGAAATGCTTTGGTCCCCTGCACACTTGAACTGCTAGAGCATGCGTTTCTCAAGAGCAGGGACCTTGCTTCTCATGCACTGATAGAAGCCCATGGACTGGCCTAGGGCAGTGGTCGGCAAACTCATTAGTCAACAGCCAAATGTCAACAGTACGAGTGAAATTTCTTTTGAGAGCCAAATCTTTTAAACTTAAACTATACAGGTAGGTACATTGTTAATAACTTAATTAGGGTACTGCTAAGCTGGCCTTTGCTAAAAACGTCCTCAATCTGATTGAGGTACGTTCCCTGAGGTCGACCCCTTCCAACTCTCCCATCCACACTCGTCTTGTATACTTGTTTCAGACAGACGAGTGTGGATGGGAGAGTTGGAAGGAGTCGACCTCAGCAAATGTACCTCAAAACATTGTACCTCCCCTGCGCTGCATCTCCCGTCACCCGACCAACCGACACCCCCCACTTCTTCTAACGCCACTTCTTCAAAATAGACTCACTCGGGGCGAAAACCGACTTCTGCGCATGGGCCACGAAGTTTCAATCGCACTGTACGTGCGCGCCCGCACGTGGTATTTTGTGGAAGAGCCACACTCTAGGGGCCAAAGAGCCGCATGTGGTTCTCAAGCTGCGGTTTGCCGACCACTGGTGTAGGGGAACTCACTTCAGATGCAATACGGCTCCCGCAGCAAAGGCCTCAGGGAAATGTTGGATTCTGTGTAGTTCTGTGTAGCCTCAGGCTTAGATGACTACCCAGAAAACCAGAATGCCACCCAAAATCAGCGTCATGCTCCCAGGAAGGAGGTGAGTGAATGTGTAGAGGGGTGATGAAAGCCTGGCGTTATCTGTTAACTTAGGAATGCATTGCTCTTTCTGGTGGTCTATATGACTCCCCTCCATGCAGTGGTACTGTTCACCCCCTGTAAAAAGGGGTCCTTTCCTGGGAGGGGTGTGGGTTCTTCCTGGCCAGCCACCACTGCGAGCAGCTGCTTTTGCCTGTGTCTGTAAGTTCCTCCTATGAGAGCTCTTATGAATTTGAATAAGGCTGCGTGTCTGTCCTGCAGAATCGATCCTGAAGTTAGATTTTTGGGGCTTTCCCCCAACACCTGGCATATAATGCAAACTAACAGTGAGAGCTTACTCTATACCGCCCCTGCTCTAAACGCATTGCCATAGTATCCTATGTCATAAAAGCCCAGCGACAGAACGGCAGAACGACCAGTCCACCAGTTGCTATGATGTGCACTGACCACCAGGGGGCGGACGTTCAACACAGGAGCTGCCCTTTGGTGGTCGGTGCACTACCACAGTGGAGCGCCGATCAGCTGACTGGGATGAGCGGCTGCTCCCACTGCAAACCCGGGCCAACGGGCAGGAACCCGGGCTGCAATCGTCGCCCTGGGCTCCTCTTCCTCATTCCCTGCTGCCTCTTCCAGATGCCCGCAGGCCACTGTCGCCGGGTTCACAGAGCTGACCCCAGAGGCTGGGAGGCGAGTTTGTGGCCGCCACTGGACTGAGGCCTACTCTGCCGCCTCTCAGTGCTAATGTCCCTGGGCCTGGCCCTGACTGGGTCCCTGGAGAAGCAAGTGCTCTGGCTCCACAGAAGATGCCGGACCAGGGAGCAGCTGCTCAGAGGGTGGGTCCACAGCTGCTCGGCTGACTGGGATGAGTGATGCTCCCACAGCAAGCCGATCCCTGCAGGCCACACCCCCACCAGTGCACAATTCCCGTGCACTGGACCTCTAGTACCCCCATAATGCTCCTGAGGTAGGTGTTATTCTTCTATCCATTTCACAGGAGAGGAAACTGAGTCTCCATTGGGGTAATTTGCCTCAGGGTCACATAAGTAGGAAGTAGAAGAACTGGTTATCCCAGCACTCTAAGGTACTATGTTATAGTGACTGCTATTTCCACCTGTAACATTCCACCTGTCATGCATTAGGTGCCCAAGAATGAATGAACAAACTTACTTCAAATGAAAAAAGGGGCATGTTGCAACAAGTGAGTGCTTTGGAATAAAGAACTAAAGAAAGTTTCACGTTTTCATCGTGGATTTGAAACTATACCCTTATAATTACAGAATTTCTGCCTATGTTTATTGTGTCTGTGACCAGCAATAAATTTTGCACATCTCAGTGTATCACCATTGAATGACTACTCTTATCAGAGTGCTGCATGGTTTGGTTGGTTATGTTTTTCAGGAAAAGCAATTGTGGCTACAACACGTTATTTTCCTTAAAAGCCAGATATTATGAGTATCAGTAGATGAATACCTAATGTAGTCAGTTTATATCTAGTAATAAACTCTAGTTGATTATATGTGAAACAATTTAATCGGTTTAAAGCTAAGAGTTATGGTCAATTTAAAATGTCTTATTTTAAAGCAGTATCAGTAGGAGAGAGAAAAGTTCAAGGAGAGAGAAGACAGGGAGATAAACGGAATTTAATAGCTATTATGTATCCAGTTACTGCTAGGAACAGTGGGAACGGGAAGTCTAATCAGAATATTTAGAGTATTACCCAGGCACAATTTCTGGGTTGTGATTTTATCCCTTCTTAAGGCATGGTTTTGTAAAATGCGTATAAATTGGAGTCAGAGAGACCTGAGTTCAGGCAATCTTTCCAGAATTACCCAATAGCTTCAACTTTTTAACAGTTGTAAGGATTAATGATAATTAAGTGAAAATGCCAAATGATGGCTGGCAAATAGTACCAAGAGTTAGCACTTAAGTGAGTCTCCTATGGCTGCTGTAATAATAACGCAAATTTAGTGGCTTCGAACAGCATGCATACCTTATCGTCCCAGAGGTCAGCAGTCCGGCATGGTCTCCGTGGGCTGGGTTCTGGCTGTTTGCAGAGGTTTGATCCTCCCATTAGGATGCATGCGCGAGGCAACCAGTCGATGTGTCTCTCTTACATTGATGTTTTCCCCTGTTTCTCTCCTCCCTCCCTCCCTTCCACTCTAAAAATCAATGGGAAAAAATATCTTCCAGTGAGGATTAAAAACAACAACAACAAAAGAGGCTCAAAGCTTTGTGTATGGGTGACCATGAGAAAGTCCACCAACGTTGGTTCTTATTGAGATGGGAGGAATATAGGAAAATAATTGGAATATCCAGGATTTTCCAAAACTGTTTCCATTCCATTTGTGGCTGAAAATTGGCTGCTTTTAATACTTGTGATGATGAAAAGTCAAGAGTAGCCTGTGAAGCAAGTTTTTAGAGGCGAGCTGTAGCACTAGTAAAACTTGCCCTGAATGGCCGTAGTCACAGCAGGCCCTGTTGTGAGAGCCTGTTTCGGGCCTGCGTGGTGGGAGACACTGTCTATGTATCTCTGTATGTGAAGGCCTCAACGTGTACTCCTTGTGTGTCTGTTTTAGGGCAGTGCCCAAGGGAATTCTCATCCATGTCAGTCCTCAGGATAATGCTATGTCTTTTAAGTACTTGGATTTCCTTTTTTTAAATTTTGGACTCTGAACTGAATAAATACCTGACTCTGTCTGTGTGGGGGTCAGGAGGGAAGAGATTGGAGGATTTACTAAAAGTTTTAAAGCCAAAATTGTGACCCAGTTATAAGATTGTGTAATATATATTATTTTTTAGCCTTTTTCCCATTTCTTTTTTATATTCCCCTCCCTTGTTTTTCTATCCTCTTTTAATGTATGCAGCCCTGTGTTTATTACATCCCTGAAAGTAGTCATAAACTCATTCTGGAACAAAGGAGAATAGCGGAAATACATTAGTCCCTCCTTTATAGCGGAGGAGGCAGAGGCTCAGTTTCTCAACTTAGCCAGGAGCGCAGTGGGTGTGTTAGTTGTCCATTGCTGGGTAACAAATTGCCCCCCAAATTAGCATGTAAAACAGCAAACATTTACATTCTCACTCAGGTTCTGAGGCTCAGGAACCTGGGAGCAGCTGGCAGACCCTTCAGTTCCTTGTCCGGCGAGCCTCTCTGTGGGGCTTCTCACAGCACAGGAGCTGGTTTCCTCAAAGCCAGGTGACAGAGAGACACTGAGGCAGGTGCTGCAATGCCTTTTATACCTTTTTCTCAGAAGTGACAACAATCACTTCTGGATTGTTCTGTTGGTCACACAAACCAGCCCTGAAATTTGGGAGGGAATTCCACCAGGGTATGAATTCCAGGGGTAGGGGGTCATTGGGGAGCATCTTGGAGGCTGCCAACCACGGTGAGTCAATAATGTAGATGAGCCAGAGTGTCAGGCAGTGGACTGAAGGGTCCCTGGTTCAATTCCTGTCAAGGGCACGTACCTTGGTTGCAGGCTTGATCCCCTGCCCTGGTTGGGGCACGTGCAGGAAGCAACCAATCGATGTGTCTCTTCTCATATTGATGTTTCTCTGTGTGTCTCCCCCTCGCTGTCATCCTCTCTCTCAAAATCAAGGAAAAATATCCTCGGGTGAGGATTAACAAAAATAATAATAATAATTTAAAAAAATAATGTGGATGAGCCTGAATGATGATGCAGTTATAAAACATGCTCAAATTTGGACCCCAGACTGTTTCTATTTCTTTCATCTTGAAGACTAGGCAAATGAACACCAGCAAGCAGTGTCGTTCTGGGCTTCCAGTTTCTTCCTCGATTCTGCCTTTTTTTTAAAAATAAAAAATATGTTTTTATTGATTTTTAGAGATAGAGGAAGGGAGAGAGATAGAAACATTGATGAGAGAGAAACATCGATTGGCTGCCTCCTGCAGGCCCCAGGTACTGGGGATCAAGCCTGAAACTTGGGCATGTGCCCTGGCCAGGAATCGAACCAGTGACCTCATGATGCATGGGCCGATGCTCAATCCACTGAGCCATACTGACCAGGCTGATCCTGCTTTATAATTGCCAATGCTGTCACAATTTCATCCGCAAAGCTTTGTCTAGCTTCATAACTCTAATCACTACTAAAGGTAAATAAAATTTTATCCTTAAGATAAAAAATTATCATTGGATTATTTAATAAATTTAACTTTCGGATAACTTTTGGATACCACCAAGGAATTAAAATAATAGCTAACATAACACTATATATGCTTATATTCCCTGAATTTGGTAGTGCAGTGCAAGAAACGATTATAATTTTAAATCCTTTCACTTTTTATGTCCTTTGTTTCATGGGAAATGTATGTTTAGAAAGGATAAAAGTTTTTTGTAATTCTGCCCCTCATAATGATTTCATTCATCATTTGTCAATGTAATGAGAAAAATCCATAAAGATATTTTTACTGCATTGCCGAACTGTAGCCAAATTTTGTCGGAAATAAATTGGGACATGTTGTTTTCCTGGATTCAGGGAACTGCTGGCTCAGTTTTCAAACTTCAAATCACAGATCGTGACTCACCAATAAACCACCTGGATAAATGAACACAGAGGATCTCATTTGCCGCTGGCTCTTACCCTACCTTTTGATGATTCTCATTTTCATTTAAAGTATGCATAAATCAATGTCACTATCAATATTTAAACACAACCCGGCTAAAAAATAACTTCTTAGCTGAGATTGTTTTCCAGAACAATGGTGTTGACTAATTCTTCCAACTTAGGTTTAAATTTGCAAGTCATTGCTGTGTGCCAGTGGTATTAGAATGTTTTTATAACTTTATTTACATCTCTGGGATCTCCAGGGTTTAATGTGTTATGCCAGTTTGCAAATAAGATAATCAATTTTGTCTAGAGAAAGAACTTTCTCTTTCCATTTGACTTCCTTATGTACAAAGGAATAAATACATATATATATATATTGATTTTTTTACAGAGAGGAAGGGAGAGGGATAGAGAGTTAGAAACATCGATGAGAGAAATATCGATCAGCTGCCTCCTGCTCACCCCCTACTGGGGATGTGCCCACAACCAAGGTACATGCCCTTGACTAGAATCGAACCTGGGACCCTTCAGTCCACAGGCCAACTCTCTGTCCACTGAGCCAAACCAGTCAGGGCTGAGTAAATATTCTCAGAATACTTACTGTGTTCTAGGCTTTATGCTACATTCTGTCAGTGGGTAAAAGGGTAAGACCATTTTTGTGCCTTTAAGAACTGTGGTGTAGCTGCTAGGTAAACATTAACAGGAATCATAATGAAGCCATGTGATATAACAGAAATATTCACAAAATACTCGAAGAGAAAGGAGAAGGGATTTAGTTTTTCTTGGTGGTAGACATTGGAGAGATACTCTCGTGGTGTTTTTTCTTTTTCTGTGAATAAACTGAATTCCATAAGCTACCTTTATAATTTAAAACAATTCTCTGGCCTGAAATTAAGTACTTAATAGTGAGCCAGTGCACAGATTCATGCACATTAAAAGGAAATTAATTAGAAGGTGGCCGGTGGGGCAGGACTGGGCGAGATGGGCCGAACACGCCCTGGAGCCAACCTCCCAAGGTCCCTCTTCAGCATCTGAGGAGTGAGTGCGGTCCCTCCGGCCGGTGGGGTCCCTCAGTCTGGCCTATGGGGATCGGGCTGAAACTGGCTGTCCAACATCCCCCGAGGGGTCCTGGAGTGTGAGACAGCACTCTGCAAAGTTGCTGTCGTACAGGGTGTGTTACACAAAATACACGTGTGCAGTACACCAGATTTGGGCCAACAGTGCCCCAGCAACAACATAACCCATGGCCAAAGGTGGAATCATGTGG